GACTTTTATACTTCATTCGATATCGCAAAGCTCGTTGAGCCCCCTCATCTAATTTTGGAGACCGAGAGTATAATCTGCCGGTTGTATGATGAAGGAGTTGGCACGAGTGAGGATGAAGAAAGACTGGACGACTCCCTAGCAAATGCTACTTTCCGCCTTGTTACCTTGTGGAATGAATTCGCTGCCAGTCTTCCAAAGGAAGGGGAGCGCCTGGCTTACGTTGGGCCGGGCCCTACAGATTCTGCATTTGAAAAGGCAGCCTATGTCGCCCATCTGATATTGCGATTGCACCATACTCGATTCTTGGGCGACGGAACAGGAGATCAAAAGATCCCACCTGTCCCCGAGGCATTATTGGACTGGCTCCGAACCTCACACAATTTGTATCCTGATCAAGCTCGAAATGTGCGCTACTACCAACCAAGCCCTGCTTCTCACAGCCTCTTCTGGCAGACCGTGCGGAACTCTCTCTTACGAGGTGAGCTGGCAGATGCGATTGATCTACTTCGGAATGCTGGGTGGGAGTCTGTGACCAGAGGCCCTAGGCGGGAACCTTTATACACTGGCAAGGCTTTGGAGAACGTGAAGCGGTTCGTTGCTACTTGCTGCGAAACTTTGGAGCTGTGCCCTGCCACGAAGTCCGACTGGGACATCAAGAATAGCAGCTGGACGCTCTTCAGAATTCAGGCACGAGGAGCACGGGATAAAATGACGGTATTCGCGGAGGGCACAGATCACTTCCGAAACTCGGAAGACGATCAGGCCTTGCCACCTATGGGTCTGTCTATGTCTACCATGGCTAGAAAATCGACAAGCCAACTTCCATGGGACATTTATGAGAATCTGCAAGCAGTATACGGGATCGTGCTCGGAAACAACGAGGCCATCATCGATACGGCGCAGGATTGGTGCGAGGCAACTGTCGGCATGTTTGCTTGGTGGGACGAAAAGTCCGACCAGCAGAATGCGATTGGATTTACTCAGCAACGCGATCTTCTCGCCTCGACGTTCAGGCATAATGACCTGGAAGGTTACTTCGATCGTCTCACTGCGACATTCCATTATGTCCTGCAGTCGGATCTTGTGCCAAATGCAATGAATCCCGTTGAAGTTGCTATTGCATCTGCCTTTGAAGGCAATATTGAAGGTGTTATTGGCTTCTTGCGCGCATGGTCTCTTCCTGTAGCGAGCTCAGTAGCTGAAGTTGCTTCGTTGGGGCGCTGGCTGCCCATCACCGAGGCTAAGAAACCCCTTCTCATGGACAACCTTGACATGGAAGATCTCGAGATTCTCAATATCCCGCAACCCACGCTCGACGATATTGAGGGTGTCAAGGATAGCACACTCGAGGCTTACGCAAGGCAGCTTGCTGGCTTCGAACACTTGTCTCCTCAGCGCGAAGGCTGGGAACTGGCCATTCAAGTTCTTGGTCGGATGGATGCGACCGAGAAGTCTGAAACAACAGTAGGAGAGCTGCTGAGGGACATTCTCAAGACCCTGGATGAGCATTCGAGCTCGACGGTTGATAAAATGTGGAGGATTCTAAATGAACTTGGGTTAATTAATTTCGCAGAAGAGACTGCAGAGGTATGGCACATCCCCCTAAGAACTATTTCAGCACTCGAGACTGACATGGGCGTTAGACATATGCGGATATATTGTCACAGGAGTCGCACAGATTTGGCGAGGCCCTGTGGTACTACGCACTATCGCACCGCACTGACAAGGTCCGAGAGGTGTTAAACCTGCTCATCTCATATTCTTTAATCCAATCTACGGTGTACCCCGCAGAAAAGGATCTTGACGTGGAGCTTAAAAACCTGCTGCGAAAGCGAGGAGAGACACTTGAAAGGCGTGCAGAGCAGGATCTGGAGGCAGCACAGCTCCTCGGTCGCATGATGAGTGGTTACGCAACACTGCGTAAATTTTACGAGCTTAGAGACGAACTACAGTCCAAGGGGCTATCTTCCTCGAAAACCCTAGCTTTGAAGAAGCAGGCCGCCTTTGCTCTCGTAGCAGTCGTTTCCAGCTCTGATGATAATATCCGCGGTGGGCTGTACGACGACGCTAGAGATGCCGTGGTAAGCGAGGACTTCTTATTGGCACTCCTGGGAGAGGCAACTGTCTTCATCCACCAATCACCCACTGCCATCACTCTTGAGCAAATCGATATTCTGCTGAAGGCTGTCGAGGATATTCAAACTGTCGGCTCACGGGTGTATTCAGCATGTGAGGAGTTTTTCGATCTGGTTCTTTCGTCAGGTCAAGGACTCAAGGGATCGAAGCCGTCTGATCTGATGAAGTCGACGATGTCGTTGGGTGGTAGCTACATAATGAGCGGAAGCTCCATGTTGACAAACCATTTCCATAAATCCGTGGCTGCCGGCGGGACAATCCAGAGAGGCTGGGATTGGAGGAAAGAATTCTCTGCCTCAACAAAGGCGGAGGATGTCCTGCGAAAGCTGCGGCTGGGTCTTGCCAAGGACTTGGCTACGCTGTGGCTGGATGACGCTGACGGTGTTGTTGCTTGGTGAAGCAAAGAATGAAGCCTGGAGTGTTCGGGGGACGGCACTTGGGAACTTGGATTTTCGCTACAAGGATGCATGTTGTGTGGATTAAGGAAGCTGGCGCGCGCATTTGGGACGGTTACAGATGCATGACTCTTAAAATTTGTTGATAGTAATAGAATTCCGACTATTAGATTCATACCTAAAATGTGTCTGAAATAAAAGGCCAGGCCTAGATCCAAACACCTCGTACCTCAGGATACGGAACAAGTCAGTTCTTATTTGCAGCCTAGATCCTCTTCGAAGAGCTTACTCGGCAAGTGGGTGACATTGAAATTGAGACATTCAAACATTATGCTGCTTATTCTCGAGTCTGCGACCGGTATTATCAGATTATCAAGTGCTAATAATACATACTTGAGAGAGAATACAGCAAATATTTTCACTTTATGTTATTCATACTACTAAATTCCATCTTAGAAAGTAGTCTGTATAACCTCTCATCCGTTAGGTGTCTCATTTCTCTTGTCACCCACTTGCCGGGAGCAATAGAGGAGCCGAGACGAGCTGGGTCGTTGTATGCCACACTCTTAGGGTCGTACGATGTTGTTCCATTCCATCTCGCGAAGACCTCCATTGCCTCCATTTACTAAGGATTGATTCTGATGTTTAAATTTGGTTAGCATCTTATTGTCACGTATTTTCGTATCAACTATGAACATAATCCCCACTTTTAAGCCGCCAAAGATTGCCAGCACGACATCAACTTGAATAGAAATTACTACAGTCTTCGAGATAGTTATATATGGCTTGAAATACAATCCTCATTCTTCTATTCTCAATCTCTTGAATTCATATCAATGAAAATAAAATATGAAAATTTTGGGGGTTATTTCCATTTTAATACGCCCCTGCCGCTCGCTGATAGCACGTGTAGGACAGATCTCAGCGATTTCATACTTTTAGAGAATCTTCAATTTTCAAGCTACTCGATTACGCTTTTTGTGTATTTACAAGAAAGTCCATCAGTACCTGGGTTTCAGCAAAATCTGATTGGGTGCTGACTGGCCGACTTGTTGACGACACCTCGATACATGTGGTGTAGAACAAGCTTCCGGAGCTCTTTCATATAATATAATTCGGATAAGTCCCCTAATCCTAAAACGAATTAGGAATAATGTGTCAATTCGAATCGAGTCATCCTTAGACTACTAAATGATGGGTTATGAGCCATGTTATTCATTACGCTCAATGCTCATTCGGCGGCATCTCAAAATTTTATACACCGTTCAAGGAAAACAAGTACAGAAAGAGAAGCGAAGATATACTAGTTCAATTCAGATCTTTCATAATATACCGAATTGAATCTTATTATTCGCGCGAAATTGTTGTAGTCGTTGAGCAAGTAGAAAAATGAATTGTGAAAGATGAGACAGACACAAACGTTGTCCAGAGCATTGCTCCTCGAAAGAAGACTGGTAAGAATTTTCTCAGATATTTTAAGAAATGAGCTCTGCATTGGCCTTCTTATTTGCTAGAGTCAAGTGTTTTAGATATTATTAAAAATTTGATCTTTCACCGAAATTTTCTCGAAGAAACAACAATCCAAGGAAGCATATGAATTGCAACGTAATACGACCAGTACATTTTGATAGCATGCGGGCCGAAAACTCGTCTCTTATAGTATTTATCGATATCCAGACTATAAGGTAAACAACCAGGTGTCGTGCAAGCGAAGTAATATCAATTTGACAGCATCGCATTATGGCCGAGGCGCCTCTATTGTGTCTAGCTACGGCCTGTTCTAACTTCAACGGAGGAGCGGGTATTCGTGATTTCGAAGCCCATAAATGGACATTCTATCTGCCAAATTGCATCGGGACCAAGTAGGAAAAGACGATCTCGTATATGTCAGTTGAACTTGACCTAGGCATCGAGAGCTAGGATGAATGCTCCTCGGCAGTCGACCCTTCGAGACCTTCGAGATCTTCGAGAGAACCCCGATTTCGAGTAAAAACCACATGAAGCTCCATTCATTGTTCATTTCTCTACATTTCACTATATTTGATCTTGTTTTCAGTCTCTAGATGAGAGTTGCATGACCAATACTTAGCTCACCGGAAGGTCGTGTGTGAGGAATTGTGGACGGGGTTTTCCTGGGTTCAAACTCCACAACGGCAACTCGCCGACAGCTTGCAGCGAGGCATCCTGCTGCTTCCCACCTGATGTTCTCATGATTCCTTTTTCGCGAAAAAAGTGAAGTCTGCTATAATTCCGCGATACTTTGTCCTGGGCTGCTCGAGCTCGTGCTCCTCGAGCCGTCGCCGAAGATCGGACCAGCGGCGATCCACTTTGAAGGCGTGCTCCAATCCCGTTCGGGTAATTTACAATTACTAGACGCCCCAAAAATTTCCCCAGATGCGTCTGAATCTCTCACGTCTTAAACCTCTACCCGAACACCAAGATCTTCTCAGCCTGGGGGGAATTGGCACTATGGCACCAATTCTCATGGCCAGCCGCTCGGGCGGCGCATTGGCAGTATGTCCCTTTTCCCTCTCCCACGCCCGAGCCCCTCCTCGAGCCACACTGACACTCATCGCAGCAAGTCCTGCGACGACGCACCGCCGGCCCCGGAGCATCACGACTTATGGCCATCACCGCCTCCTCCGCCCGCAGACACCTCTCCACGGCCCAATCGCTGCCTCCGACCTATGAGAAGCTCTTCAACAAGTACACCGAAGTCCGACGGGTCCTCGGAAAGCAGCGCCTGACCCTCGCCGAGAAGATCCTCTACAGCCACCTGCACAACGTTGAGGAGTCGCTGCTCAACAACACCGACAATGGCCGCAGTATCCGGGGCAAGGCCAACCTGCGCCTCAACCCCGATCGTGTCAACATGCAGGACGCTTCCGCCCAGATGGCTCTGCTTCAATTCATGTCCTGCAACCTGGCCCGCCCTGCTATCCCCGCTAGCATCCACTGCGACCATCTGATTGTTGGATACAAGGGTGCCGAAGGTGACCTGGAAGCTGGTATCCAGACCAACAAGGAGGTTTTCGAATTCCTCGAGTCTGCCGCCCGAAAGTACGGAATGGATTTTTGGCCTCCTGGAGCTGGTATCATCCACCAGACTGTCTTAGAAAACTACGCCTTGCCCGGTCTGATGATGCTTGGAACCGATAGTCACAGTCCCAACGCCGGTGGCCTCACCACTATCACCATCGGTGTCGGAGGTGCTGACGCAGTCGAGGCCCTTGTCGGTGCTCCCTGGGAACTCAAGGCTCCCAAGATCCTTGGTGTTGAGTTGACTGGCAAGCTGAATGACTGGGTGTCTCCCAAGGACGTTATTCTTCGATTAGCGGGCGAATTGACTGTTCGCGGTGGAACCGGATCTATTATCGAGTACTTTGGTCCTGGTGTTGAGACCCTAAGTTTGACTGGCAAATCGACTATCTGCAATATGGTTCGTTGTCTCCTACTGCCCTCTTAATACCTGCTACATATTAGTGCTAACCACTTTACACAGGGGCAAGTTTTCCTAATCGTCCATGGACGAGAATCTCACTACGATCATCTGTACTAACCTTTCATATATTATAGTGCCGAAGTAGGAGCAACCACCTCCATTTTCCCCTACACAGAGTCGTCTGCTCGATACCTGGAAGCCACCAGCCGAAGTCAAGCAGTTCGCAATATTGAAACCCTGCAGAAATTCCCCGGCAGCGGCGCTGACAAGGACGCCTATTTCCGATTCAACGCAGATGAAGGAGCCGAGTATGACCAGGTCATTCGAATTGACCTCTCCACACTGGAGCCTTATATCAACGGCCCCTTCACTCCTGACCTGGCAATCCCTCTCTCCAAGTTCAAGGAGACTGTCAAGGACCAGCAGTGGCCCGAGAAGCTCTCCGCCGGCCTGATTGGCAGCTGCACTAACAGCTCGTACGAGGATATGACTCGTGTCGAGAGCTTATTGAAGCAGGCTGCCGCTGCCGGTCTCAAGCCCTCCGCCGACTTCTACATCACACCTGGAAGCGAGCAGATCCGCGCCACCCTCGAACGTGACGGAACCCTCGAGACGTTCGAGGGCGCCGGCGGAATCGTCCTCTCTAACGCCTGCGGCCCCTGCATCGGCCAGTGGAAGCGCAAGGACGGCGTCGAGAAGGGCACCCCCAACGCCATCCTGACCTCGTACAACCGCAACTTCCGCGGCCGCAACGACGGCAACCCCGACACCATGAACTTCCTCGCCTCGCCCGAGATCGTCACGGCCATGGCCTTTGCCGGCTCAACCACCTTCAACCCCATGACGGACGTGATCAAGACCCCAGACGGCAAGGACTTCAGGTTCTCCGCCCCCCACGGCCTCGAGGGGCCTTCGACTCCCTTCGAGCCCGGGAGCGAGTCCCTTCGCGTCCTCTCCCAGGATGCAGACGCCAACACCCAGGTCGCCATCTCCCCCACCTCTGAGCGCCTCGCCTTCCTCGACCCCTTCCCCCCCTTCCCAGGATCCGACCTCTCCGGCCTCCGCGTCCTCGTCAAGATCACGGGCAAGTGCACCACCGACACCATCTCCGCGGCTGGGCCCTGGCTCAAGTACAAGGGCCACCTCCCCAACATCAGCACAAACACCCTCAACACCGCCGTCAACGCCGAGACGGGCGAGGTCAACGCCGCCTACGACCTCGACGGCTCCAGGCACACCATCCCCGACCTCGGCCAGCTCTGGAAGGACCGGGGGCAGGAGTGGCTCGTCGTCGCCGAGCACAACTACGGCGAGGGTTCCGCCCGCGAGCACGCCGCCCTCCAGCCCCGCTACCTCGGCGCGCGCATCGTCCTCGTCAAGTCGTTTGCGCGCATCCACGAGACCAACCTCAAGAAGCAGGGTGTCGTGCCCCTCACCTTCGAGAACGAGGCCGACTTTGACCGCATCGCCGCGGGGGACCAGGTCGCTACGGTCGGCCTTTATGAGATGCTCCAGAACGGCGGCAAGGGCACCGTCCAGGTCAAGGTCACCAAGAACTCGGGCGAGGAGATCCTCATCCCCACCAAGCACGCCGTCACCAAGGACCAGGCCGGCTTCATCCTGGCCGGCAGCGCCCTGAACCTGCTGTCCAAGGGCTTGTAGGAGGGCGGCTTTCGGCCGCTTACATAACCGGTCTTTCTTGTTTTTCTCCTTTCCTTATACGTTGTTATATTGACTCATACATATATACCACCGTGTTTTGGATCTAGCTTGTCGAATTTAGAGGCGTTGAAAAAAAGGAGGGGGGGCTGGCAAAAAAAGAGAAGGCAGTGGAATCATTCTCAATGACATCGCTGAATCTTATTAAATATGTTTTCTCGTTTACCCATTTTGTATAAAGTGCCATCTACCCAGCTACCCATCACCGTTTGAAGTGATGCTCCAGGTGAAGATAACCACCATGCCCAGTTAAGCTCCCACTGTATAATCTGCCCTATCCCAGCTCAGAGAAGGCTCGTTTGTACCCTCTGTGCAAACAGCCTGTAGGTAAATATGCGGCCATCTATTGGTTACAGAACACGGTCCTCCCTCGGGAGGACTGAAGATGAAAATCTAGATAGAATAGTAAGCAATCTCGGAGGGGCCTTCTCTATATCTTCTCTGCCAGGAGTTGACTACCCCCGCGCGCCCCCTCGACTGTTGCCTAACTGCCAGCAAAAACTCCGTGTGCCCATGTCCCTGTGTCTCTGGGTATCATTGACTCCTCCAATGAATTATCCCGAGCTCATAAATTGATTGTAGAAAAAAAATCGGAAAAAAAAAGTCCATTGCCCTGACGCCTTCAATAAAGTCTGCCGTACGCGTAACCGGGCATTATAGAAATAGATACGCTCCCCAAGAAAAGAAAACCGATTTCACAAAATCTTGATCGATCGGCTTTGTGTTACGCTTGTTTCATCGAGTTGTAAAACTCCTCAGTTTGGCGCATGAACTTCGAGGCCAGCTGTCTTTGCGCAATTTCCTTCCTGGTGAGGGGGGGTCTTTTCTCGACCTCTACTTGCTGCTTCACTCGTTCTCGGTGCTGCACAGTAGAGTCCACTACATCCTTCCTAGTTCTTGCGTCGCGAAGCCTGCCGCAAAACTTCAGCCAAGCAGGGTTCTCTTTAACATAGGATGGGAGATCATCTTCTGGGACGTCGCCGAAATCGAGGGATCTCTGATGCGTCCAAGGCTCTGGGTCTTTCCTCTTGGGACCTCTTTCCCGAAGCCCGTTATCGCTAGGTGGAGATAGTTTGTCTTGTTGCGACTTTAACCACCGTTGTCTCTCTCTGACCCTTCCAAACCATTTCTTTCGAGCTCCTGGAGGTCGAAGGGCGAGCTTTCTTCGGTACCACTCCTCCGATCGCTCATGCATTCCTTGAATCGCAGGATCTCGGTGCAGATAGAGGCGATCGTCGAATTGCGACCTATTGCTGCCTTTATTGCTATGTCCAAAAGCACTTACACCTTTCGGCGGTGATGAGGCTCCAGGCTGTGCATATATTAAAGCATCAAATGCGTCGGAATCAAAGGCTTTTTTCTCCCGGTTTACCCGAAGCCTTGGTCTCGATGCCGCCAGGTGGGCAAAACCATTCGTAAGAACAGGAACAGGCGTGATCGGACGAGCTTCGTCGACACCATGCACTGTCACATTTTGGTTTGCCGGACCAGCTCCATCACCATTGACCAATAGAGCCTGAGTTACGGGCCCAGGCTCGTTATCCCCGTTCGTCATTACAACGGGCCTTGGAGTGTCGGTATCTCCATCAACCATGATGACTGAACCCGCTGAGCCAACGCTCTCATCCAGATCCATCATGACAACTGGGCTCGCTGACCCAGCATTACCATCCTCGTATAGGTTTACTGGGCTCGCTGAGTTAGCTTGATCATCCTTATTTAACGTCAAAACTGGGCTCGCTGAGCTAGTGCCATCATTATCATCCACAATGACAACCGGACTCTGAGGATTGATAGTATATCCGTTGGGAAGCATAACAGAGTGACGTGATGTGACAAGCACAGCGGTATGAGACCGCCCATTGATTGTAAACTTCTTGATGGTGGTGGGGTTTTTTAACGTACCCAACGACTTCAGCGTTGTAACTGCGTCCTTACCACTCCCGATAGGGTCTGCCTGCTTCCGCTTCCCCAACGTGCCATTAGGAACACCATTTTCTGAGTCTAGATTTGTAGCAGAAGTATAGCCAGAGCCCGGCGTTGATTCTTGGTAAGTTGTAGGCCTAGCACTGGATTGCGACTTTGGTGTGGAGGAAGAACTTCGCATTTCAATAGCCTGCACCGACGTAGGGGTGGATTTGAGGGCACGGTTGTCCTTGCGAAGGCTGGAAGGCTTGATAGTCCGCTGCTTGGAAGCAGCAGGAGTTGGCGTGGTACCGTTATTGCTCGTTTTGGACTTGGCCTCTTCACTATCAGAGCGAAGTAGAGAAGGGGAAGGAGACGCGCTGAATTCATTATGGAACCCGTTCATGACGGGCCCAGAATTCGCCTGGCCATTCTGCGGCCTTGGGGCGGTGACACGTACAAGGTCTTTATATAACACGCCGTAAGCCGTTACGACGGGCACCGCGTCAGTTGGCGGCCCCTGACCGTAGTTACCAGACGCAGTCGCTGGTTCCGAGGATTGGCTAACGCCGGTAGGGAGACTGCCATTCACGGGGTTGCCGTTGGAGTTGCCGGTGTCTATGGTGATAGAGGAAGAACGCTGCTGCTCCTTCAGGCCCGGGTTGGGGCTCCTGCCTACATTTGCCACAGAAGGCGATGCGCAGGAGACGGATCGTTTGACCGAGTTCCAGCCAGCAGAGTTAGGTTGTGACTTGGCTGGGGGGTTTTCTTGATGAGACGCAGACTTGGGGGAATTGAATTCGTGTCTGCAAGTTACTGGGGAGGAACCGGCTGAAGGTGTTTTTTCCGGCCCGGGGCGAGAGGCCGAGACGGAATGAGGCGCGAAGGGCCTTTTGGTCCTCTTGGTCTTGACTTTCTTAGCACTTGAAGCACTTGAATTAGGCGTGTGCTGATGATGATGGGCGCTGTTGGGCGTCATTGCGGCATAAGCATGGGGATGGGTGTGAGAATTGGAGTTCGCATTGGTGGTGGCAGTAGCAGTGGCGGTGGTCGTGGTCGTGGTCGTGGCAGTAACAGTAACAGTAATACTGCCACCGCCAGCACCAGGGTCAGCACTCCCTTTGTTGCTTGTGCCGTTGGCGTGGCTCGTGGTGCTATTTGAGTTAGTAGTGGTCGTGGTAGTGCTGGCACCGGGGTTGAAGCTGGCATTGACGCCGTTGTTGACGCCGCCTATGCCGTTGCTGTGCATGCCAGTGCCGTTTGGTCTTGGGTGGTGGTTGTTGGGGGTGGCATTTTGTTGCTGCGATGCAGCTTTGCCTGAGTTGAGATAGTAGTGCGCGTTTGGCGCGCCATTTGGAGTAACCCCGCTAAACGAGGTCCCTGGGCTCGGGGCCTGGGAGTATCCAGCGTGTTCCAGCATGGCGGAGAGGCAACAACAGGAAAAAAGGAAAGTGCCACCCTCGCAAGAGATGAGAAGGTGTATCCGGTGTCTGTTTGAACTACTGCGCTCTCAACATACCGCGGAAACACCAATCAGGCACAAAACGAAGGAGCTGTTCAAAACTGAAATGGGTAGAACCTGACCTAGACAATACTCAACGCATTAGCATGATGAGACCATAATCAATTCGGCGCAACCAAAACAGAAATAACACAACATGTCGAAGTCAGATCTTTTCAGTTAATTTTCGAGCCTTCATCCATGGAACAGCAGCGGTTACGACAACACCTCAGAACAGCAACCCGAGAAGATCAGTTGTCAAAACTCAGCTCCCCCCTGCATTCGCACTGTTGGCCACGGCCTTTCGTCTGGACCCATAGCGCGTTTGGGATCCAAACACCATGTTGTGACCTGCGTGTTGATGACTATCTGGCAGCCGGGGCTCAGATGCCAATTAAGACACACGTGAGTCCACAGATAAAGAGGCTTATCCAGACACGGCAGTAAGGCGAGAAAAGACAAGCCGGAGCCCCCTAATCTCCTGCCATCCACCAAAATAGTAGTGTCGCTGAGCGAGGTGTTGAAGCACCCAGAAGGTTCCGATAAGTCAGACCTTTTACCATCGGCATCATTCGATTGGCATGTTGGTGTATAGGCAGTGGACAAGTCAAGCGTGTTCTGGATTCTACTTACTGAGTGTCGGGAATGCCCAATGAAGCCAGGAGACTCGAGGAGACTCCGACAGGCTATTGCGCCTTTACCAGCTTTCAGTCAGCAGGTTGAGTGAAATGGGCGAGACACAGAGAGAAAGCGCGTTTGCGCGCAACAGCACCAAGCCGTGTCAAGCTTCAGAGACACGGCCGCTGCACATAGCCTGACAAAAGACCATGTCTTTGGGGCGGATTCCACTGATGCGATGCGATGCGCGGTGTCCCGATCCAAGTTCAAAGGTCGTGTTCAGCCGGAAAGTTTGCTGGTTCCGTTTGTACACGTGAGTGGTGAAAAGCAATCGCGAAAGCCGGACCACACCGACCACGTCTCCCACCCAAGGAAAGAGACAGATAAGACGCACGACGATGATGCAAAGAAAAATAAAAATAAAAGGCTAGTGGAACAAGGCAGGATCCAACCCAACGACACACCGCAGGGGAGGCCAGACTGATCTTCCCGCGTGTTTTTGCTGATGGGAGGCCAAGGAAAAGCGGCAGAAGAGTAAAGTTGGTAATTAAGCAAGTAGGAGTGGAGGCCATGCGTGTTATGGTCGATGGGGGTTCCGTAACGGGCGAAGCGCCTAGGGGGGACCAGCCCCGGCGGGAATTCAATCAATCCAGGTGGGGGGAGGTCCCTGGGCCACCGCGGCTCCCAGCTCAGCGCACGCAACCTGATCTGTCCAGCGCTCTCTTATTTTTGTCTCCGATATGGCCCAAGCGCCGGCGACCGTCCATCCTACCACCTCCCAAGAGCAGCAGGAACGTGCCACCACCCGTCCGAGCCGTGGCCTTTGCCTCCAGCGTCTCGCTAATTGCCTGACGCCCGGGCCTTCCATCCACAGAGCCAAGTCACATTACTCGTCACGCGCCATGACTGCTCTCTGCAT